CTCGCGACTACTACGACATGGAGGCCACTACCTTGGACTCCGTGACGCCGGCCGTGGACAGCTGTCCGGATCCCTTCGAGTCGGCACTTCGACTACGAATGCAGGCCAAGATCGCCATGGCCAAGAGCTTGGTCGAAGAGCGCATCGCGAGATGCAACCGAACTCGACAGCAGCAGACACCTCCTGGACAGCGACTTCAGCCTGGCGAACCTGTTGACATCTATCGAGTACCTGAACGCAAGGATCAGTCAGGATGGAGAGGACCAGCGGAACTTGTCAAACTTTCTCAGGGAACTGGCATAGTGATCTGGAACGGTATCCCCTACATTCTACCCACAAGGCACATCAGACGACACACTATCAATCTGGAGAAGATACCAATCGGCGAAGGCAACCACTACGCATACCTATTGAAAGACACTACAGACAGCTCGAACCTCACTGAGCTCATGGACCTCGTCGACGGCACCGCCTACGGTCAGTACACCAGGATCGGGAAAATCTTCGACGGTCGTTCCATGATCTGTTCACCTCCGGTATCTCAACTACGATTGGTCAAGCACTGGTGCCTGTGTCTTCGGATATACCAGCGAGTTTTCCATTTGAAGAGCGTGGACGGCCTGTTGTACGGTACATCGGTCAGACGCATTCCAGCACTGGATCGGATGTATCATGGATTGCTCGTCACTTGGCCTCGTTCGAATAAGACGAAATACCTGGCACAGGAAGTACGACCAGACAAGGGAATAAACATCACAGACTTTTCGAGCGACGCCTGGGACGTTACCTCTTTCTTCCTTATGTATCGGACTGAGGTGCCGGTAAACCCTTTCCTCGACGACTACGAGATACCAGACACGAACGATCTCGGCAACATCGAGGTCTGGCCAGAGAGCATGAGAGACATCGATCAGGACATCCGCGACATGGTCAGCCTTCTTCCTGATGATGATGACTGGGAATCAACCATCCTCTCCTACTCGCCAGAAGCATCGCGACAAAACATAAGAGAGAAGTCGTCGCTGGACATCGAACAAGCAACAGCTCAACTTCCACCAATACGAGAAGACATTCAAGACAAGACTATCGGATCGAATTCCAACGATCTCGACCTCACTGGAGAGCTCAGCAGACTTCTAGACCAGGACAGCTCTGGCTCAAATCTCAGGGCTCAACCATCAGCATCCTCAGGACAGCTATCGGCTCCTGTACCACAAGCTACGCCTCTTCCTCAGCCTGTGCAGCGAGCTGTGCCTCTTACGGCACCATCACAGCCAGCTGCACCTCAGCCTCAACCTCATGCAGCGGTACCTGTTCAGGACGACAGCTTCGACATGAGCAAGGCGCTGAGCGACATCTTGCCAGAGTCCCAGGACGCTGAGGTGGATCAGGCGATGCCTCCCGTATCGTCAGCTACTCCAGTACATGACAGGCCTACTCTACCAGAGGGCGACTCCAAGAGAGTCAAGACAGCTCCTCCTAGCACGGTACCTGCAGCAAGCACGACAGCTTCCTCACCGGGCTTGGTTCCTTTGTCGAGTACGGCGTCAACGTCGAGGCCGACCATCGAACGTGAGCCGGTCACGAAGCGAGAGCACGACACAGTGGAACCCGGACAGTCGACCTCGATGGAGCAGCCTCCAACGCGACCCTATGCCGGTACCTCGCCAACAGCTCAGCCAGTGACCTTGCCGACCGAGGAAGGGCAGATCGAGTCGGAGATCAAAGAGCTGGATCTTTCGGGTGAGTTGAGCAAGTTGTTAGAGCAAGATGTTTCTCAACCTGGCGCTGAGGCCGAACAGTCAGCACCAACGAGTTCACAGACACTGATTCCTTCAGGTGATGACAACGCTCTTTCTGGACAGGGTCTCAGCTCGGAAGATTGGAAACATTTGCAGAATATGCCAGCGGAAGATGCTGTTCCCATCGGGTTGCCGGTACACGTCGACATGCCAGAGAGCGACCACGCGCCTATTCAAGATACTGACCTGTACGCTCGACGCAACATGGCAATAAGTTGTCTGGATGTCGCTGCAGAAGAAGAGACTTACCTAAATGAAGCGCGTGAATCATACTTGCACGACTCAATGACCATCGTGTTGGAACAGCAACGACAGGCCAACCTCTTTGCCGACAAGATAGGACAGCAAAACGGCCTGCCAACATCGGACCTTCCGTGGACACGCTCACAATCAGCCTGGGTTCTTGCTGGACCATGGAAGAAGGACCAGTGTTTCCTGTTCGACCTACACACGGGAGAAGCGGTTACCTACGCGGCTCAGGCGGATGGCAACCTTACCGAGCAGGAGATATACGAGAACTGGGACCTAGTCGAAGCGGCTGATCGGGCAGAGCTCACAGCTTTCGTGGGCCACTCTGTGTTCGCGTGCGCAGCGGTCAAGAACTTGGACTCTCGGAACATCATTGATGCAGTCTGGGTTCGGCGCTGGAAGTTCAATCCCAAGAAGCAAATCTGGGAGGTGAAATCCCGATTATGCGGCCGTGGTTTTCTAGATTCCCAGAAACATCAGATACAGAGGCATTCCAGTACAGCATCAAGGATCAGTCAAAAATTGGTGGTGAGTATGGCACAGTGTCACGCTATGACAGACCTTGAAAGTTGGGATATTTCAACGGCATTTCTTCAAGGACTATCGTTCGATGAATTGAGGAAACGTTCAAGAGAGTTGAAGTTGTCATGTACAACGGTCAGGAAAGTCTACCTCAATCCACCAGCGAACGTGTGGCGACACTTGGCCAACATCGAGGGCAGCTCAGTGGTGGTACAGCCGGTTGACTACGGACTCTTTCTCCTGGAGCTACTCAAGCCTATGTATGGGCTGGTCGATGCTCCACATATGTGGCAGATCGCGCTCACGCTGTTCCTCGTGTCTACCATGGAAGCTCGCATCAGTCTGTGGGATGACAATTTCGCGTACTGGACGGTGAAGGACATCGACATCCTACGACGACGGCATCCTCACAAGGCGCATGAATGCGGAGTATCGGAGAACCTTCTGACAGCAATGACGGATAAGCTGGCAGCCTGCCTCACGATTCACGTGGACGACCTACTTACTCAGTCGAGGACACAGATCTTGAATTTCCTGAGGCAGCTACTGGAGACGAAGTTTGGAGCAGTCAAGCGTCAGAACCTACCCTTCACGCACAACGGAGCTCAGTACTCTAGATTGGCGAATGATAGCATCCTCATTCAGCAGCTCGACCACTTACGTAACATCAAGCCATGCGAGATCCCTGCCTTGAATGATGATCAACTTGTATCAGCACAATATATACATGGTTTTCGGAGCATCCTCACCAGCATGCTGTTCCTGTGTCAATGCAGTGTGCACATCTTGACGGAAGTCACTCAATTGCAGGGCTTCAACAATGAACCGAGGGTGATGCATCTCAAGAGGGCCAATGCGGTGTTGAAGAAGGCGCAGAACGACAACATCATGATCGGTCTTCATTATCCACGACTCTCAGGACCCTACTGCCTGCGCGCCATAGGAGATGCTAACCACACGACTAAGACGAGTGTGTATCCACAAGAAGGCCAGGTTATCTTACTCATGCACGATGTTCCTCTCGTCATGGACAACAAGATGGACGCGATCAGCGACAAAAGGTGTCTCAGTGGATACTGTCATCCGATGGCGATTCTCTCGAACAAGGCGAAGAAGGTGGCACATTCGACTTCAATGGGTGAGACAAATTGTGCGCTAAGTGTTGTAAGTAATGCACAGATGATAGCACTTCGTATCACGGAAATGCAGATGGATCAAGATATTGCTCAGAAGGATCGTATCAAGGCGATGATGGACATCAACGAGAAGGGCGCCTATGAGATTGCGATCGACCACCTGACGGATTGCAAGGACGTGTTTGAGCTGGTGACGGGCCTGAAGGGCGTTCCTCAGGACAAGCAGCAGAGGCTTCCGGTGATGGCACTCAGAGAGGAAAGAATCACTACGCGGATACGGTGGACGATACATGTGCCGACGGAGATCATGATAGCAGATGCAATGACAAAGCCGGGGACCTTCAAGCAGATGATGAAGCTATTGACCACAGGTTTCTTAGACATGGAGATGGTATCTAAGGTAGCTACGGCTCGACGTATCCAGCATGCACCGGTGGACTACACGGAGAGCGACCTGGAGACGATCCAGAAATTCAACGGCCAGGTGCACTTCGAGTTCTACCAGATGAACGACATCCTGATGACTGAGGCTCGCATCCGTTGCCGCCCGGAGTCACCTCTCTCCTAACCTCCTCCTTCTCTCTCTCCCTCGAGTTAGATGGTTTTTTAGAATGCGTTTTCTTCCCTGTAACTTTTTCCACAACAGCCCTTAGAAAGTAGAATGAGACTGAGAATATCAGCTTCAGTAGCAGATCAGCTTAGCAATTCAGAGGATCAGTGAATGATCAAGTGTAGTATCTGTTCCGTACGCATCAGGGCTCAGGGTTTGCGCAGTTCAAGACTAAACATCTCAGTGAGGGGAGGGGTGGAGGGGGGGGAGGGGGGAGTGGCGGGGGGGGAGCGGGGTCGGGGGGGTGGTGGGGGGGGGAGGGCGGGGGAAACCGCGCAGAGGTGGACAGGGGAGGTCGGGGGGAGACTCGGGAGGAGGGGAGGCGGAGGAAAAGGAGGAGGAGGATACGTGGCAGGATAAATGAAGGGGGAGAGAGTGTGGCCTTTCCCGCGCACGTGTTTCTTCCCCTCCCCTCGATTCCTGAAGCGCGCGCCCGCGTGCAGTTTCGCCGCCTTGTCCTTTTTTTTCTGAGTCCTCCACCACCTCCATCTCACCCTCGTCCTCCACGTCCTGCCCGTCCTCCCGCCAATCCCCTCCCTCCCTCTCCTCATCCCCTCCCTCCCTCTCTTGTCTCCTCATCCCTCTTTGCCACCTCGCCCTCGTCTTCGTCTCCTGCTGTGCTCCCTACCTCCCACTCCCCCCCCTTCTCCGTCCTCCCATCCCATTCGCTGGACATATCAGGACCTCTTGCGCACCTACAACCTGCAGCGCACCCGGACCGGCCTTTTTGTTGGGGCGGGGGAGGTGTCAGCCGATGATTGCCATCGTCGTCATTCTATTCCACATCCTGCTCCTCCCACTCGTTCTGTTCCTCTTCCTCTTTTCCCTCCCTTTTCCTCCGCCGCCTTCTCCTCCTCCTCCTCCTCCTCCTCCTCCTCCTCCTCCTCCTCCTCCTCCTCCTCCTCCTCCTCCTCCTCCTCCTCCTCTTCCTTCTCCTTATCATCCTCATCGACGTCGTCGCCGCTGTCGTCGTCGTCCTCTTCCATTTCCTTGTCCTCATCCACTCCCGTGTCATCGTCCTTCTCGTCCTCGTCCTCTTCGTCCTCCCTCTCGTCCTCCTCTTCCTCCTCCTCCTCCTCCTGCCGATGGGGGGCTCCATGGGGCACGAGGTCTCTGGAAGTCCCCGGACAGCTCCCTGTGTTTGGAGGCCTGCAGAGGCACGACAAAGACCCACACACACCTCGAAAAGCAAATCCAGGGCGGGTGTTCGCCAGGTCGTGCGTACTTCCGCTCAGCGGTGGCATGGCGCATCGTCCCCTCCCTTTCCTCCCTCTCCCCCCAACAGGGTCCGCGGTGGAACGAACCACACGCAGCGCCGAGCTCTGGCTTGCCTGCACGGGCCATGGCTCCGCGTGCCGGCTCGCCGGTGCCAGGCTGCCCCCCTCGCGTGGCTCCAGGCTTGCCCGGTGCACTCTGCCAGCGCGCCGCTCTTCCCCCAAAGATCCAACGCATTGAAAAAATCAAGGCGGAGGTTTTTCATAAGTTTCGGCCCTTGGATGCCCTCGCCGGGCCTCGGGACCTTAAAAAAACGACTCAGGATGAAAAACCGGTCCTGGGGAATCGGTCGAGACTTCTGGGGACCGCGTATCGAAAAAATCACGACATCGGATCTCTAGGTCCCCCCACCTCCGGGGCCCAGCGGGCGCCCAGCAGGTGCCAGGCCTCCACCCCCGGCCCCGTGGCAGTGCCCCCCAGGATCTCCAAGGATATATCCAAGGAGGCCCACACGGGCCCGCTGGGGCCACCCCTCACGATACCCAGAGGGCTCCATCAGAATGGAGCGCAAAGCTGGGGGCCCCTTGGGCCACGGGCACCTTGAGCACCTCCCGACTTCGTCGTCGTCTTTCTCCTCGTCCTCCTCCCTCTTCCTCCTCCTGCGCCGCGCGCGGGTCTCCCGCGGCCGGAGCGCTGCAATTGGGAGCCGGCGCAATCCCCCCACCCCAGCTGCGGCCCACCGCTCGGCGGCGAGCCGCCCCCGAGGAGGAAGGGGTGCGCCGGCCGGGGCCTACAGTTGGCTGACCCGGGACCACGTAGGCGAGCGCCTCGCCCTCGTGGCCGCCTGGCCTGCGGCATTGGCCCTGCGGCCCCACCGCCCAGCGCCGGCGCCGCTGTCGCCGCCGTCGCGCCGCCGTTGCCCGGCCACCTCGGCGCGCGCCCAGCGCCCGCGGCGCGGCGCCCGAGCCCCAGCTGCAGCGGCGCGCCCGCCAGCCGCTCAGCTCGCGCCCCCAGCGCTAGCCGCCCAGTTCAGCTCGGGCCGCGCCCCCGCGCTCAGCTCTCGCGCGCGCCCTATTCCTCCTCCCAACACTTCTTCCTCCTCCTCCTCCTCCTCCTCCTCCTCCTCCTCCTCCTTCTCATCATCAGCATCATCATCATCATCATCATCATCATCATCATCATCATCATCATCATCATCATCATCATCATCATCATCATTATTATTATTATCATCATCGTCATCCTTCATCCTCCATCTCTCCTCCTCCTCCTTCTCCTCCTCCTCCCCCCCTCCCCCTCCTCCTCCTCATCATCATCAGCACATCAGCATCCACCATCATCATCATCATCATCATCATCAATCATCATCATCATCATCATCATCATCATCATCATCATCATCATCATCATCATCATCATCATCATCAGTATCATCATCGTCATCGTCATCGTCATCCTTCATCCTCCATCTCTCCTCCTCCTCCATCTCTCTCCTCCTCCTCCTCCTCCTCCTCCTCCTCCTCCTCCTCCTCCTCCTCCTCTCCCTCCTCCTCCTCCTCCTCTCCTCCTCCTCCTCCTCCTCTCCTCCTCCTCCTCCTCCTCCTCCTCCCTCTTCCTCGTCAATCTCCGCCCTCTCCCCTCCTCCTCTTCCTCCTCCTCCTCCTCCTCCTCCTCCTCCTCCTCCTCCTCCTCCTCCTTCTCCCCCCGCGCGTCGCGCGTTGGGGTGTCGTTGGCTCCCGCGGCGGTGGTCTCGCGGGCGTCGTCGGCGGCCCTCGGGAGAGGGGCAGGCGGCGCCCTCTGCCAGAGGGCGGGGCCTGGCGAGGAGGGCGAAGAGGGGGAGGAGGGAGGAGGAAGGACAGGGGGGAGGAGGGAGGAGGGAGAAGGGAGGAGAGAGGAGGGAGGAGGGAGGCGGAAGGCGGGAGGAGAGGAGGGAGGGAGGAGCAGGAGAGAGGAGGAGGAGGAGGAGGAGGAGGAGGAGGAGGAGGGGGAGGGGGAGGGCTGAGGTTGACGAGGAAGAGGGAGGACGGTGAAGGAGGAAAGGGAGGAGGAAAGGAGGAGGAGGGGGAGAGGGCGGAGACTGACGAGGAAGAGAGGAGGAGGGAGGAGGAGGAGGAGAGGAGGAGGAGGAAAAGGAGGAGGAGAAGTAAGGATGAAGGATGCAGGATGATGATGATGATGATGATGATGATGATGATGAATGATGATGATGATGATGATGATGATGCTGATGCTGATGCTGATGATGATGTGATGATGATGATGATTGATGATGATGATGATGATGATGATGATGATGATGATGATGATGATGATGATGATGATGATGAGAAGGATGATGATGAGGATGAGGATGATGAGGATGATGAGGATGATGATGATGATGATGAGGATGAAGATGATTGAGGAGGGGAGGAGGAGGATGAGGAGGATGAGGATGAGGATGGGATGATGAGGATGATGGAGGAGGAGGAGGAGGAGGAGGGAGGAGGGGGATGGGGGAGGAGGGGGGGAGGGGGGAGGGGGGGGGAGGATGAGGAGGAGGAGGAGGAGGAGGAGGAGGAGGAGGAGGAGGAGGAGGAGGAGGAGGATGAGTTGGAGGAGGAGGAGGAGGAGGAGAAGGGGCGGGCGCCGGCAATCGTCCCAGAGCACGGCCTGCTAAAAAGAGCTGTGGTGGTTGCGCCGCAGCGCCGAGAATTTCAGCTGGGTTACTCTCAGAAGTCGTTGCCCACGTGTTTTACTTTGATGGCATCGGGTCAAACTGTTGCCACACATTGTTTCACAAAGATACCGCCACCAGTAATTTACGCGCTCATCCATGAAATGGCCTCGATCCGCCCAAGGAAACCATTTGGATTACATTCACGCTATCATCGATGATACGGCCTCCATACCCGCAAGAAACAGGTCGATGTACTCATTGGATCGCCTGTGCCTCCATGCATTTTGTCCCACACTTTACGCCACATACTCGATCGGTCTAAATTAGCAAATCCTTTGTCGAATTCTGATCTTGATATATTGGTCCTCGTCGTCCATCCATTTTGACAGGCGAGCAATATTTTCTGATAGGTCTGTATCGCTACTTGGTCAAAGTCTGTGCTCTGGACCTCCAGCCGGCGCAACGTCCCACGACTCACAATGCTATCTGAAATAGTTGTTGCATTAGCGCCGAAAGCACCGTTGACCCTCATTCGCTTCAACATGCAATTCCCGAAACCACCCCATTTCCCACTCCACTTGATGTAATGAACTTCTGGTCTGCTATCTCCTCGATTGCCTTCCAGGGGCTCTGACGGAGCATCACAAGATGAAGAATTAAACCCATCATGACAATCATATCCGTTGTCACTGGAACAATGCCCACCACCCAGATCTGTAGCGCGTTCCAGTGCAGACATATTTTCTCTGACCCGTAGTATTTCAGAAAGGATGTGATCCACCTTGCGAGAGAGATCTTGAACCTTTGAAGCCCGATATTCGCGTTTGAACTCACACACTTGGTTCTAAGGCTATCCATCCGTTGTTGGCAATAACAAACATTAATTTGAACAACTTGTTGGTTGCCGGCAATATGTTGACGCATTTACGTGATCGCATGGCATGTTGAACTCAAGTGTTCCATGTAATCGCTATGTTTTGTCACATGTTTCTGCAGCGTTGACAAAGAAGGGCATGACACATCACGCTGAGAAATGACTTCATCAATCGATTGGAGCTTTGACAAGATAGCGTTTGCCATACTCCGCCTCTCCCGTCGCCGCTGCGTGCCACTCTGTCGCTCTGATTGAGCATCATCCCTTCGAGATTTCCAGGCACCTGCCCATATTTGAGGTGTCATTGCATTCAAGGCCACTCCTAAACTAAGCGGGGCCTAAACTTGCTTGAGCAAAAACGGCTGATGAGGAGGAGGAGGAGGAGGAGGAGGAGGAGGAGGAGGAGGAGGAGGGAGTAGGAGGAGGAGGGAGGAGAGAGGAGGAGGATGAGGAGGAGAGGAGGAGGAGGAGGAGAAGGGGCTCTACTTGGAAAGGGGGCGGGGGGACGACTAGGAGGAAGACGAGGACGATTGATAACGACGGGGGGGGAGGGGGGAGGAGTGAGATGAGACGAGACGAGGAACATTACGAGGACGAAGCAGAGGAAAGTGGCATGCGTAGGGGGAAGGGGAAGGGAAATGAGGATGACGAAGAAAAAAATGAGAGGGCTGACGAGGCAGGGCAGGAGGAGAAGGAGGAGAGGGAGGGGCATGAGGAGAATACTTATGAATGGGTGGATCTCCTTGAGAGGAGGGTGACGACGACGAGCAGGACGAGGCTAGAGAGGTAAGGGAGAGGGGAGACGACGAGGAAATGAGACGAGGACGAGGAGGAGGGGAGGGGGGACCGTGAGGGTGAGGGTTAGAGGGAGATGGACGGGGGGAGGATGGTCGAGAATCGAGGCCTATGGCCCTCGCGCGCCTCCAGGAGGCCTCTGATGAAGGCCTGGGGCGACCCAAGGATCTCCG